TATTTGGGCTAAAGAGAGAAAGCAAGTACAAGTGTTTAAGTATTGACAAAAATGATTAGAATATCTGACCCTATCAAGAGAGAGGGAATTTATAAGATTCCCCCCAGCGTCGGGCCAAGGTCTCCCATGTGACCTAAATATCTAATCGGCCATTGGGGGACTGGCAGGTGGAAGATCTAGCGTGTGATCTTTGACCTAGTCTAATTGTCTCTGTGACTTTCGAAGGGGCAGTTGGTCGCAAGAACTGCCAAGCGCGTGAGGGGCATATCCCCAACAGCTATACGCTCCAACGACTATATTGTGGCCAACGACTATATTGTGCCCGATCGCTATATTGCATCCCATGGTTATATTGGGTCTGGCCTTAAGCCAAACTAGATTGGGCCTTTTCCAACTATGAGGAAGGTGTCAGTCCAGTCCAGAACATAAAGTATAATTAAACATACAAAACAATATACATTAACATAAAGCGACCACGAAGGCCACAAGTATGCATGGTACAACACCATGGGGCCTATCCCCACAAAACAAAATTACAAATAAATAAGTGGCACGCAGGCCAAAAACATAAATCGGGGAAAAGCTCACTACTCCACTTACTGGACTTCTTCTTGGGCCACCATTTCTTCTTGGGTCCCCTGCGCTTGCCCTTCACCGAACAAGAGGAACTCAGGGACGATTATCTTGCCATCCTTAATAAAGTAGAGGAACCCCGTGCCTTTGATAGACAGCTCGACACCAGGGTTCACCAACTTTAATTGATCGACGACATTCTGGAAGGCCTCCTCGCCTAAAGCCAGGAGATCGTCGTCAGCTTAAGTGATCCGGGAAACCAGCTCCGCCGAAGGTCGACAACTTCTTCATCTCCTAGATCTCATCTTCATCAGGGGAAGTAGCGACCTTTAGCTTCTCTACCAAGTCCTCAACAACCTTCTTCTGGGCGGCCAGAGCATCCCTCTTCGCGGATATCTCCTCGTGACCCTTCCACGCATCCTCTTCAAGCTCCCTCTCCCACTTCTCTTGCAGTTACTTGACCTTATCCTCCAGGGCCGCCACCACATCTTGGGACTTTTTAATTCAGACTCGTGCTGAGAACCGTCCTCAGTGTACACCACCTCCATCTCCAGGATCCTCATCAAGGCAGAGGCATCCTGCACGAGCATGACCCGCTTGCTGGGATGGTCCATTTCCTCGAGCTTACGAGACTCTGCCCGAGGAATGGACATGGAGGACCCCTCAAAGAACTTTTCTATTGTGCAGGTAAGGAGACAGCTTGAACTTGCTTTTTTCCGTCTCCCGGCTGAGATCCACGATGTCATTCGGGCGTGAACACTTGAGCCTCGCACTCACGAGCAGGGGAGACATTTTGGTGGCTGGCGGGGTAGACAAGGAAGTCCCCAACCCTGTCTAGGGAGGATTCATTCGCTGATTGAGACAACTTTTTCCTATGTCCACGCCACCCTTCATCTTCCCATGGGCATTCTTCACCATCCGCTCCTGCACAAAAGACATATTACCTGCAAAAACAACGAGCACATCAACGCATGAAAAGAGAAGCATTTCTAGTAAAATAAGAAGAAGTAGTGAGCTACCCAAGAGCTTAAGAGCCTCCTCGCGAGTGCTGCACTCGAGGAGCTCTTTTGTGTTGATATACCGGGCCTCCACCTATGGCCCCCCATCTTATTCATAGAGTATCTTCCCAACGCGAGTCATGCACTAGACGGGGAGAAAACCATCCATGAAGGCCACCATCTTAGTATAGTTGGCCCGATCATCGTCCCTCAGCTAGTGAGGAGTAACTATATACTCATCAGTTGAGCGAGTAAAATGGGTCCCGCTTCAACATAAGGGAAATAGGAACAGTCTCCGGGAAACTATCTTGTCGTTCTCGTCTATTAAATCATCCCTGTTCTCATCCGTAGAGACCTTCCAAACGAAGGTCGAGTCGATAGCTGTCTCCGACACATGCTCGATCACGTAGAACATTTCCTTAAAGGTCCAAATAGACTCAGAGAAGGGTTTGAATAGTTTCCTCCCCTGTTTCAGAGAAACCCAACCGAATTTCCTCCCCGACACCTTTCGCTGGAAGTGGAAGATAGCAAAGAAAAGCGGAAGAGTTACCATAATCTGCAAATACTCGCACCTAATTCGTATACCCGCAGAAGGCAATAGAATTCAGATGCAGCTGGGAGGGAGCCAAGTCCAAGTGTACAAAGACTGCCTGCTGGAAGTCAGTGAAGGGAAACCTCAACCCTATTTCTTTGAAGACATACTCGTGAATGGGAAATCTCTCCCCGTACGACGAGCATATACGATCATCCTCCGCAGGGAAATAAACCCTTCACTCTCCCTCGGCCCTCACTGTGGTAAATATGTCCCCGATATATGAGGCAAAGCGCGAGGCATTCTCCATCGATTCAGCCGCAATCCACTCGTCGGTATAGATCCTCGCAGCATACACCCCTCCAGCCTCAAGGGGCGTGGAGTCATCATTCATTTTAGTGTCCTCCGAGGAGCTCTCCTCAGACAAATCTCTAAGATGCTCTTCTTCTTCAGCCCTATGCAACATTTCCTTTACTTCAAAAGCAGAGGATAAAAATGAATTCGATGACAAAATTAAATCCACCCTTCCACTGCTAGTCAAGTGAAAGGGCGCACAAAGGGCCAATGGCAAAGTCCTCGACCTAATCCCTACTCAAATGACCCAACTAACAAACGAGAAACTGCCTGAGAGTTCTCCCTGGCACATTCGGGGAAAAGTCCCATCCGCACAAAACCTAGAATTCTCATGAAGGAACCACCAGAAACCTCATAACCACACCGGAACCCGTGGTTCCCTCTGGCAGCAAACACCGTCGTGTCGCTACTACACCGGGATCAGCTAAAAGCTTAAGACTTCCTAAGTTCTTCTTCCCTAATGGTCACTACGACGTCGACAGTAGAGAAAGTGGCCAAACCACCGTCTGCCACCAACAGCCACCACTAAACACCCTAAAACTACTTCATGGCAACCCTAACCACATGCATTCTAAAGTGCAGAAATCAGAAAAGCATAAAACAAACAAGGAATCAACATACTTACATGGTCGGGGACGATTTTCTGGGTTTGAGTAACTCTGGCAGAGCTGGTACGGTGGTCAGAGCGAAGCTTGACGGCGACGGATGGCTGAGAATGAAGAACTGAAGGCAAAAGAAGAGAGAGAAGCGAAAGTTAAAATGAGCGGTCTATCGCACTATTTATGGGCAAACTCCAGGCACGTGCACGTGCACGCGCGGGTAGGGCATCATCATGACCCTAGCCTAGCCATTATCACACATTTAATGCAGCACACAGTTCGAGGCACACATGACGCTCCCACTCTTCAAATTCCATCAACTGTTGGTCTCCCCAAACCTCGAGCTCTCCGACAAGCAACGTTTTAGACGCCCGGGCACAGATTCCTTTGGAAAAAAGGTAGCTTACGAAAACTTTGCCCGGGAAGCGGATTGTCCTTAAATCATCACTACCATGCTCGATAGCAACGACTTAGGGGGCTACTGTTCCGGAATGGCCCAATGGCTAGGTATGACTCAATCCACTTCTGCTCCCAGAACGACCCAATTATCTAAGTTCAACCACTTTAGGGGAGAATTTACCTTTCTGCCCCTCCAACAAGGGAGACTAACCAATTTACTCTTGGTCACAACGCTTCTCCTTATCAGTGTCTGCCCGTCACACACGGTTCCACCACCCAGAAACAACCGAGATGCCTGTGCCCGTAACTACGCCCCTACCCGTAACTACGACTAATTATGGGCACGTCTGTCTGTTACAACAGGTAGTTCTGACAGTTACCTATTCTTCGAGAAACAGTTATCTTGCCCCGAAAATAGGGACCAATGGTCAAGCGCTGGGAGCACTATAAAAATCCTCTCATTCGAGAGGGTTAGATATCTAATATTCACCCTGATATACTCATACTCTGTACTTGCTCTCTCTCTCTCTCTCTCTTACCTATTTTCTTACTTTAGCATCAGAGTGCCTTGCAGGTACACCCCTTCCTCCTCTCTCACACCCAACATCAAAGACGATTGTCTTTGCCCCGCCTCAGGTTCTGATCAACCGGTAAGATCATTAGGTTTTATTATAAATAACACTCTAGTCTCTCACCTTAAGAGTGGTGTGGCAAATCCTAATTAGGGTGAGAGAGTTATTTGTTATTCTTGAGTACTTGTAATCTGATTTATAGAGAAAATAAAGAATATCAGTTATTACCAATCCTTGTTGTTACTCTTCTTGTTTTTCCGTTAATCCTAACCCTTGTGTGTTTATTGATCATAAAGAAACCGAGTATATTTTTATTTTAAGGCATCCTAATTCACAACAAAATCCAGTTTAAACCAATTCATATATTTTTAATTGATCTAAATATCAAATTATTTTAAAACCAAACTAAATCAACCTACGAACATTCCGAAAATAACCAAACATCAAAATTAAATTTATAGATAAAAAAAATCATCCATAAACACTTTCATTATTACTTTAATAAAATAAAAATAAAAAAAATAAACATAATAGGTGGCATTACATAAATCAAAAAACATCTTTTATAAAAGCGGGACAATACATAAAAAAATGGAGGCAGAGTTAGTAATTAATGGTTTATTTAATAAGTTGTTTTTAGAAAATTTAATTAAGTATTTTATTCATAAATAAACTTATGGCATATTTATAAACAAATTAAGGGTAAGCAATAGGATTAGGACCAAGGAGGAACGTGTGGTAAAGGTTTTTTCCGTGGCACAAATGAATTTCCTTCTTTTTTATGTTTTTGTTTTTTCCTTAAAAATCAATGTCCTTGCTTTACAAGTTTTCCTTCTACCTCAAATTTGCAACAAGTTTTCATTGAATGATCAACAAATACAAAATATCTGTGTTGCAAGCAAAGTTTCAGAACAAAGTTACAAATTTTATGAGCAAATTATCACTTTCAAGTAGAAAATAAGCAAAGGGTATTATGGCACAGTTCACTTCTCATGGTCGGTTGAAGCTGTTTTTCAATGGGGAAAGTGTATCATCTTTTTTGGAGAACAGAGACCCTTTTCAATTCAAGTGTAGATCAATTCAGACTCACAGGAGAGGATCAAGTTACAAAGGTTCTTCTTCTTCTGCTGCTGCTGCTAGATTTCATCATGCATCTTCTTCATTTCTCAGAAGCAAATCAAACTGTTATAATGCTGAAGCACGCCCAAGTGAGGGTGTTCATGATGGATATGAATATGTTTTGGAATATGATGATTATGATGATGAGGATGAGGATGAGGATGAGGATGATGATGGTGATGATGTGTTTGAGAGAGATGGCTTGTCTTGTTTCCGGGGTCTTGTGTTGGATATATCTTACAGGTCATTTCTTTCTCTCAATATTTATATTTTTTAATTTCTGAGCTAAAAATATGTATTAGCTTTATATCCATTGTGTCTATGTAGCACAGATATCTCTGAAAAAAGACGTGGGTGTTAGTGACAGACACCAGCACCAACACTTGTGATTTCGTTTGATTTATTTATTTTTACAAATTATTATTGGTGTCGATGTGTCTGGTTGCCCGTGTATGTGTCCATGCTTCATAGTCTAGTGTTGTGTGTGTGGATGATATGAAATTATAACATGCTATTTTTTGTTGTATAGTCACCAATATCAAGACTTCTTCTGCTGAGTTGTTTGCTTATGGTTCTGACTGCTATCATCCTGCTCCAGGCCAATCAATGTTGTATGCTGGAAGCGTGCCATTTGTTTAGAGTTCATGGAGAAGGTTAGGTTTCTTAGCTTCACTTTGATTGTTTTGTAGTTGATTTATTTATTCTAGGCCTGTTTCATTTCCCCAACCGCCATGCTCGTTGCATTGCACATACCAAAACTCGTTCACAACAAGAACATTTCACTTTCTTGTTAAATGAAAAAATGTTTATCTAGTTATGATTTCAGATTTTGTTTTAAACAGGCTGATGTACTAGAGTATTATGACAAGACTGTGAATTCCCCCAGCGGATCTTTCTATATACCAGCTGTTTTAAGGGTATGCTCACAAATATACCGTGTTTATCAATATTTCTTGTACTTCACAATTCTAAAACTACTGGTTCTATTTTGATATCAACATTTATGTTGTTGTATTTTGTATAAAATGATTCGTAGCTAACGAATAAGAAGAAGATAGACGTGAAAAGAGAATGATTCATCGTCTCCTTCTTATTGAAACAACAGTTCTACAAGAGACATTTTCCCTCTCTTGTGGTCCTGGATCATTGGGCACCTGTTGTTGCTCCTGACTTCCCTGGACTCCCGAACATAACTAACTGACCATAAGCAAACTAGCTGAACTAACTTCTAACCCTCTAACTACTTTGCACTTGTGGAACTAACTGGTAACATCACCTGCAAGCTGAGGGTTGATAGATGTCAACCATGCTTGGCTTAGTTAGTAGATAGTTGAAAAGCTGAGGTAGCAGGGTTTGGTAAACAAGTCTACTGTTTAATTGGTGGAAGGAAGAGGGAGTAGCTTCATGAGGCCAGAATGAGATTTCTAAACAATGTGGCCATCTATATCCAAATGCTTCTAGCTCATTGAGTACAAGATTAGCCACAATGTAAGATCCCCTTGGATGAAGGGGGACTAGATGCTTGATCTGCTTCTTACATAGGCAAGGCCGCAGGGTGGAATTGTTGAGAAGCGTGGAGAAGAAGGTTGTTCTGAGTATTGCCAAGGTTGTTAGGAGAGGCAAGCAATGTGGTCTTTGTAGGGCAAGACTAGCCCCTAAAGCTTACATTTCTGTAACTAGAATCTAATTGGCGGTGAGAACATAAGCCGGAGCTATGGAACGTGTTTGTCATATAAGTATGAACATTGAGTTTCTGTGAAGGCTTTGAGATTAATAGACTGCAAGATGGACAAACAACAAAGCACATATTCGTCCGGTGTTAAACTAGGCACAAGTTGCTCTTTAATGGAAGTTGTATTATCAATCTAGGAATCAGATTCATCACCAATAGAAGTTTAATTATCAAACATAACTATCTCCAAACTTCTACAATGTTCTCTCTGTTAACTATGCAATCAATAGCAAGACTGAGCTCAGAGTCCATGAGTGAACCATGTTATTACACCTTCCATAGGCCTGAAAGCTGGGATCAGAGCAACGTGGAACAAGTATTTTCCATCCAAGAATCAGAACTTGTTTTTAGATATCATGACCCTCTTCGGTAATTTTGCCTAAGAATGGTAATTATTACACCATTAAATGATGAATTTACTAATATATCCGTCATATTATCTCTAGGATGAACATAATAAGGATCACCGGATTTTGAGAGGGATCAAACGGAGCTGGCGTTGAAATATTCATATTAGTAAATGAACTTCAACCATTATGATTCTTTCATGGCATTGTGAGAATGGTGCATCAGAGCTCAAGAAGATTATTGATTCATCATCTCATTTTGACGAAACTACAATTCCGTGCACATATATCAGGTATAAAGAGGAAGTGAGCAATTGATCCGAAATGAACTAACTTCTAATCCTCTAACTACTGTCTACATGTGGCGCAATCTGGTGTAACAATAACATCAAACCAAGAATGACTGCGGAATTTTTTTCTTGTTATTTTTCTGCTGTAATGCAGATAAGCTTTAACATATACTTATTTTGGTGCAGATTCGTCATTTACTTCAGGTTATTAAAAGAAGAAGAGTATCAAAGAACACTCTTAGTCGGAAAAATATTCTGTTTAGAGACAATTACACCTGTCAGTAAGTGCTCTAATAATGAACTTTGATTTAAATATATCTAAATGTGTTTACTTCGTCCACTAAACCAAACACAAGCCTGTTTTTATATATTGATGTTTACATGAGATTACCATTGGAACACACCAGGTATTGCTCTTCGCATGAGAATTTGACGATTGATCACGTTGTGCCAGCTGCACTAGGGGGAGAATGGACATGGGAAAATCTAGTAAGATAATCTTCTCATATAGAAAACACGAACTATTCAATTATTTATTCTTGTCCTACTGTTCTAAAATTCGGTATTCAAGATCATCACGATGATTACTTATATTTACGTAGTAATGCCTAATCTGTATTGGTATTATTTCTGGTACAGGTGACTGCTTGTTTCAAATGCAACTCAAAGAAAGGTCGAAAGTCCATAGAGGAAGCAAAAATGAAGCTGAATAAGGTCCCAAAGGTACTCCCATCTTAACAAACAACAATAAATATGATTTCTGTGTATGATGGCTTAGCATAAAAGAATCTTACCTTTGTTATTCAGGCACCAAAGGACTATGATATTCTTGCCATACCTCTAACAGCAGCAGCTCTAAGAGTGCTGACAGCAAGAAATGGGACACCAGATGAATGGCGTCAGTATCTAAGTTCCGACTTTAGAACCATGAGTTAGCGCATGTTTGGATTCATGATGAGTTTGATAAAATCACGGTGCAAAAGCTATAATTTGGAGCTTTAACAAAATTACAATGTCACTGTGACTTTGTCAAAGCGATCGTGATTCCATACACGCACTTATGGCTATGCATTCAAATTGATGATTAAATTTTAATTGTAAACATTACTATCCAATATCAGGGATTGTGTAAAATTTATGTAAAGTGAATTCCTGCCTAATCTATTATGATACTTAACTGATTCAATGTGATTTTCATTCTTCATTCAATCAAACCAATACAAAATCATAATATAAACATTGAGAAGCTTACTGCATGGAAATTTAAAATTTTCATGTATGGAAGAAGATCTTGTTGAGAAAAACAGTGGAACTGTTGAAAAATTAAGTGTGCGAAAGTCCCACAATGATTATAAAAAATTGAGTTTGAGTATTTTATAAAAGAGAATTTAAGATTTTTGATGAACACGTGGTGCATCTGTTTCTGCAAAATCATATCATACAAATTACAGATTCTCATATTTTTTATTTCATTTTCAAATCTAAGAAATTGTTTATCAAAATTAATTTGATATTATCAATTATAATAAAATGAGATTTGTTAGTAATTTTCTTGTTAGTTTGGATTTTTAATGTTAACCCACTATAATTATTGTTCTTTTTTAATGCCTCAAAATAATTCTAGAAATTTACTATTTTTTTTTTTTATAAAATATAATGGGAATTTCTTATCCTATTCTATGGGGTGGAAAAATATTCTATAAAAAATCTAGAATGTTTCTTAGATTATGGAGATACATCTACGGACACATATCGACTAAAAATTAAACGATAATTGTTTCGAAAATGCATCTCTGTAATATTTTAAAACAGACATCATGCATCCCATCCTGAAGACATTTTACACGTTTATTATTTCGGAGATTCATCTCCATTTATTTTACGAAGATGTATCTTCGTAACATGTCAGAACATTGCATGCTATGTTTTGTTTATGTTTATTTCTAATGAGAATTTATAAACGTTATGTACCATGTTATGTGATGATATTTTAACCATACAATCGATATACAAAAAATGACGTATATAAATTCAGATAGTCCAAAAATGACATATAAATAAAGTCAAAATACACGATAAAGTAGCATCAAGTGAAAATAAAATACAATCCCTAATGAATCCAAAGTACAACTACTATATATATATATATATATATATATATATATATATATATATATATATATATATATATATATATATATATATATATATATATATATATATATATATATATATATATATATATATATATATATATATATATATATATATATATATATATATATATATATATATTTATATATATATTCTACTGCACTACTGTGTATATCAGACTACATCTCCTCGGTCTCCTCTACCTCTCCGGTCTCCACTACCCCCGTCCTTCGACGTTGTCTCAAATACATCAATCCCCACGTGCCTCCGTCATGATGGTATCTAACACCTGCCTCACATCAGACCCATCAGGGAAGATACATTTGTTAATGTCTGCCTACGCAATCTCCACTATGCGACAACATTTAAGCAAGACATACTCAACATGATCTAACAGTGCCTGCTCCTCATCTAGTATCTCCTGATGAGTTAGTCTCGATGGATCTCTTAGAGCAGCCTGCACCATATACAGATGTGACACCCTGATGTACCCGTCGACGTAGCTCTAGTCGCTATCAACTAGGGTATTATATGCCTCCTCCGATACAAGATGATTCTCATAATTATCAAACATGACATCCATTTGTCTACGTGTCAAAGCATGAAGAGCGGAGACAATAAGGTGTCTGGGAATAGTCTGAGTGTAGTCGAACTACCGCATCACACGCTCAGGAAAATGAGGAGCAGTGAGACGTGATCCGCAGGCCAACCATCCTGAGTATAACAATATCTCGTCAAATGGTCGCATCTCATGGTGATCTACATAGTTGTTGAAGTGGATGTCCTCGGCAATGAAGCAGTCAATATACACTCTAAACGGATGTTTCGCCTGGTCCCCTATGAGCAGGGCAAATGCAGTAGCACGCGACATACCCTCAGTGTAATTCAATACACTTGCCCTGCCATAGATATGTAAGAAGTGCTGGAGGATCCAAGCCTGAAAAGTATTGGAACACACAAATCATTAGTAATGGCGTTGGGAAGATGTAATGATCAAAATGACACAGAAACATTAAAAAACAAATAAATATTAGCATTAGGAGTGTGATGTTGTCTGTGACCTGTTTTATCTTCCACCTACAACTCTCTGATAACTTTGAGTACAAGTAGACCAAACAAGCTCCCCCTAGTTGTACTCATGGATCCGCTCGAAATCCTCAAAGTACCGTAGGTAGACAACATCTGTATAAGAGACACTCTTGTCTAAAAAAATACAGTGCCAACCAAATATAGCAAGTATGCTCTCATGGCATAGCTATATGTAGCCCCACCTGTTCGTCATCTCCTCTATCCTACTCAGCTATCTAGAGCTCATTTGTATATACCTTTTTGAGGAATTCAAACCTAGCATGAGCCCCTCTGAATTCAAACCTAGCATGAGCCCCTCTGATTCTATCCATCTCTGCCATCACATCCGTTGGGTCAACTCCAAGATAGTTTACCATCATCTCAAGTGCCTCGTCTTTGCTAATTCTCTCATGATCTAGAAGTTTCCACCTAATCGAAAGATGTAGCAAACACGATATATCGTCGAGTGTGATAGACATCTCACCAAACGAGAGATGAAATGACGAGGTCTCGATGGGCCATCTCTCCACGAGTGCATTAAGCATCATGTGGTTAACCGTAATATAAATGATCATGCATAAGTCTTCATCCTAGATAGGGACAAAGTTGCCTGAAACCACTTCTCATTTGGATGAGGCAAATTAGTAATCTTTCGCTCGTGGTTAATAATCTTCAGCGGATCACGTTCTTGTAAAAAAATAAATCAATGTCAGAAACTTGTAAATTAAAATAAACATAAATTAAAAGAGTGAATTCAACTAATGCTACCTCTCTGTCCCTGATATGTTTGGAAGTATGGTCTGAATACAGAAGCAGTAGTGGTAAGTCTACAATTCTCCTCCAAATGGCTCTGGGTCAGCATCCTCAGCAGCCTCACCATCCGAAGGTGGAATTGGCTCAACAACATCAATAGTAGGATGTGGAACTACCTAAAAGCATCATTTGTCGGAGGTGGCACTGGTGCCTCCGGTACCACCGCTGACTCGGATACCTCTGGCGTCTAAATATGTGAAACATGGCGCTTGTGAGGATGGAGGGAGTGATACGTCGGTAGGTGAAACCTGTCTCCTACGGGAAAAAGAAGATGAAAATGCATGAGGAGAAGCATGAGCCCTAGAAGTAGATGTATCTGCATGCCCAGAGTGAACAAGAGCCTCTGAAACCCGACTTTTCTCGCGTCGTACTGATGCATGTTGTGCAATCCTTTCGTGCCTTAGTCTATCGTGTCTATCAACCATAATGCACGTAAGTAAAAGTAAATCAGACAATTAGCACAAGCAAGCAACACTACAAACAAGAAAAGAAAAAAACAAAACACTGTTAAATTCCAAGGATACATCTCTGGTTACTGAGAAACTTAAACGTTGAAAAATTCCAAAGATGTATCTCCAGAATTTTCTGCCACACCTCATGTGCGTCAATTGCGGCAATGCATACATGCAAACACAAAAAAATAATGGTTTGATCAACATTTTCAGCCAACAAACATGTTTTACACTATGTTTAAACTATCATTCATGCAATTTCTATTTATTTCTTACATTAATCATCAATTTCTACTCATTTACACAAAAACTCAAAAAATTTCAAAAAATTAATTTTTTTTACAAATCTAGAGTTTACCTCCTCACACTTTGATGATATATCTAATACACTTGATGTTTATTGAAGAACCTCCGAACTTTGTTGTTTAATTTGGGAGTTGGTTGATGGAAAAAAATTTGAAATTTTGTGATAAACTTGAGTTTTTTTAGAAATGAGAAAGAAGAAGGGTCTAACGCGACTTAAACTCCAATACTTTTCGAAGATGCATATACAAAATACGTTTGAAGATATATCTCCGAAATATTTTAACGCTAAATCAGAATTAGATGTGTATGAAAATGTATCTCAGAAATCTAAAAATATTTTAATATTTTTATATAATATCTAAGGAATATATATGTAGCATTAAAAAATTCTCACTGGTTAAGGAAACGGGTGCAAGAAGTGCCATATCCAATACCATGATATTTAAAATAGGACCACAAAATTTATTTCTAACTACTTCATACAACTACACCCATTATACAACACCAAAAAGAGATATATACTTACTTTACACTAAAAAAGAAAATATGTGAATTATATATATATATATATATATATATATATATATATATATATATATATATATATGTATATATATATATATATATATATATATATATATACATATATGTATATGTACATATATATATATATATATATATATATGTATATGTACATATATATATATATATATATATATACATATATATATATATATATATATATATATATATATATATATATATATATATATATACATATATATATATATATATATATATATATATATATATATATATATATATATATATATATATATATATATATATATATATATACATATATATATATATATATATATATGTATATATACATATATATATATATATATATATACATATATGTATATATATATATATATATATGTATATATATATATATATATATATGTATATATACATATATATATATATATATATATACATATATGTATATATATATATATATGTATATGTACATATATATATATATATATATATATATATATATATATATATATATATATATATATATATATATATATATATATATATATATATATATATATATATATATATATATAT